GCTCTAGGCTTAGGACAGTGTGTACGGTACCCACGACACTACATGTCTCCGCAGCGCCAGGCAGGCTGTCCCCACGCTTGGCCCCTGTCGGCCTGGCAGGGTTGAAGGTATCCAGCGCTAAGAATGCCAGTGCCGATGTGGCGGGTATTGCTTGGGCGTGTAGAGTACGGCTACCCTGCATCGTTATTCCAGAATAGTTATTTCGAAATAGCACGTCTACACTGCAGGGAAGCCTCAAAATTAGTCTGAGGTAGGCTTTCCTAATGTGGACGTGCTATCTCGATTTAGAGCCCCAGGAGGAATAACAGCCTCTCACCAGGGCCTACTTCAAAATAGCAAAAGTGGAGTATCTATACATGTCTTATTTCGAAATAGCCATTTCGGAATAGGCGTTATTTTTCGTAGAATAAGGTATACAGAAGTCGGAATAAGCCGTCCATTATTTCAAAATAATGGAATTTCTGTGTAGACGCTCACATGGTTATTTCGGAATAATAGCTGTTACTTCAAATATAACTTTGCTGTGTAGATACACCCCTAGAGAGCTGGGTGGGCAGCAGTGGGAAACCTAGACTTGTGAGTTGGCTGCATGAATGACCTTCCTTCACCTCAGTGGTCCACAAGATGGTTGCAGCCAAGACTGGGGTGGAGTCGTTTTGCTAACTACCCTTGTTTACCTAGTATTTGGGGGATTCAGCAGTGCTCTGATTGGATGCAGAGGGAGCGCACTGGCTTTTGTGCATGTCACTTTAGTAATACCAGTCGGAAAAAAACCTACATGATGGGAGTCCAGCAGAACGTGGCAACAGTAAACAAAATGTCTCAGGCCACGCATACAACCCCAGTGGACTGTGGATTGCCTAGCACTAGTCTATAATCTATGTGTGTCTATAATCCAGTATGTCTATAATCAGGTGTGTGGGGTTCTCTACCCATCTAAATCCTGTCAGATAGAAACAGCAGTATAGAATATGTTAGGTGAGCATGCAGTGTCTATATACACTTCATGCTGCCACAAGCATCAATGTACTTTAAATGTCAGGCTCTAGCAGGACTCTGGGCCCTTCCTTTCCTCATCTTTCTGACCCATATATTTTAAATCAGTGTCATCCACTTGCCATTTATTGATTGTATTAGCATAACACCTAGGAACCTAGTTAATGGCTAAGGCCCTGTTAGGCACTTGCCCTGCTACTTTTTAAAATGTATAATTCCAAATAAAGTCAGTCTAACAGTATTATTTCCCCCCAACTTGTTTACTGTGTGTACAGTAATTTTCACTTTCTGCACTACAATCTGGTGTTTGGGTGGAACATTGCATGAAGGAGAGAGGGGAAAAATCAATTAAAGATCATTTGGTCAGGAGATTCCTAGAGGAGTGCCTGAGGCCACTTTCAAGTATTGAAACTGACTTTCTTAGAGGTTGAAATTGTTTACCTTCTGGTACCTCAAATACCATGAAGTTTTCAGTTTTAATATTGCTAACTACAGCTTAACTTTTTATACAGGCTACTGGACTAGGTGGGTCAGCAGTAGCAGGCCATGGTTCAGACCAGATTGAGACTATGGAACCTGTTAAAGATCGTATCATTAAGGTCACTTTCAATGCGGATGTGCATGCAAGTCTACACTGGAATTTTAGACCACAGCAAACAGAAATATATGTAAGAAATGTACACAATTCATTTAGACGTTCTAGAATGATTGCTCAAAACTATAGAAAAACCTTGCAAAAATTAAAAAATCGAGGCTTCAAATATTAACTGTTTAAAACTTGTTCTGTGATTCCCAATACATATGTTGACTCTGATCTTGAAAAGATTTAAACATGGATATGAACCTTTTTAGGATCAAGGCTATCTGTAGGCTTATTCATGGACTACTCACAAATATTTAGAAGATGGAAGAGTCTTATTTTTCAGCACTCATTCAAATAACATTACTGAAGCTACTTTCATTTGAATTAATAAATGTTCACATCACAGATTAAAAGAATATGGTGAAAGGGATTTTGCATAATTTAAAAATTGAAATGATTAAAGTATTTTTACGTACCAAATATTTTTCTTGGGTGCTGCTGTACACTTTGGATTGTGATTAGTTTCTTAGATTTTAGAAAGGTTAATAAAAGTTGCATGGGCTGCAAACAAAGGCAAAAACACAAGTTGGGGTCCTAGTCTTGCAATTTACAATGCAGGTGGGCGTTAAAGACTACAGGGCTCTCACTGGCAGGCCAAAGCAGTCCACTTCAGCATTGTAAATGATACGTTGGGGCTTGTATCTCCTCGTCAGTATTTTTGCTGATTATTATTGGATTTTTTTTTTTGCCTTGAATAATATTGTTACTCTTTATAACTGGTTACCAGCTAAGGGCTCTTCTGAGATCAGTCATGTTTCTTTATCTGTTTGTTTTAATTCATTGAGATAATTAGTTTGATTTTTTTTTAATAGGACTATTGGACTTCATACCAAAGTTTATTAATTTGACATATACAAAGAACCAATCCTCTATGCTGTCATAAGGCTTCTAAAAGGTGTTGAACTACTGAAGCCAATGGGAGTATGTCTACTTACCTCTTGGTAGCAAGCCCAAGGGCTGTCCAAAGCCACAACTTCAAACCACTATCTTCACATCTGTTTTAGAAAACTAGAATGAGTCCTACTAGCCAGACCCTTTTGACCTAGGTGAGAGGCCTGCTCCAGGCATGCCCTGAAAGCCCAGTATCTTGTAGGGTAAGAGCCAAATGCAGCTGTATTATGATTAATTTGTGTGAATATTGAAACTGGTTCTCAGTACTGTTTTTAATTTACAATCGCTTTTCCAGATTCACTAATGTTGGAAATACTGTAAATAGATTACTTGTAGTGAATCAGCATTTAAGGCAGCTAAAAAAATTATTACTGTTATAAATTTAGCCACTTAAGTCTTACAGAACTTTGTGAGAATGATGTAGTAAACATAAATATAGTAATTGTGATATATATAATTTTTTTTTAAACAGGTTGTACCAGGAGAAACTGCACTGGCATTTTACAAAGCAAAGAATTCTACGGACAAACCAGTAATTGGAATCTCTACATATAACGTGGTTCCATTTGAAGCAGGACAATATTTTAATAAAATACAAGTAGGTGAAGTGTGTCACTTGGGACAATTTGTAATGACAAACATCTCCTGTCCCAACCAGCCCAATTAACACATACCAATAGCCTATCCTGTAGGCCTCTTCTCACGGGGTGACAGAAAGTTCACTCTGGTCTACGTGCTTGAGGGAGAAGCTGAAATGGTTTCTGTTATACAAGATGGCTTCTAGCTAAATATGAAAATGGTTTCTACAGCTTCTACAAGTCCCATTAGAGTGGCTCCCAAAGTGAAGATGATAAACTACTAGTGATCTTCAGGGCGCTTACTTAAGGCTTGAATAGTCAGAGTACTTATTGTGCACTTCAAAATTATTAAATACTTTCCTGCCAAATAGGAGAGAAGTTTGTGTCATGGACCATGTTTGTTAATACAGTATAAAGGAGAGAACCTGCTACCTCCTCATGCTCACAAATTAGGCACATGTTCCATTAGGCATTTAAGGTTATGTAGGAGCCTATCAAAGTAGGAGCCGTAGAAAAAACAACACTGTAAATGTTTTTAATATGTAATATATATGTATTTTTTTGTAACGGTTTCTACTTTCCACCATGTACAGTGCTTTTGTTTTGAAGAACAGCGGCTTAATCCCCAAGAGGAAGTGGACATGCCTGTGTTTTTCTTCATAGATCCTGAATTTGCTGAAGACCCAAGAATGGCCAAAGTTGATCTGATAACACTTTCTTACACTTTTTTTGAAGCAAAAGGAGGACACAAATTACCCCTCCCAGGTTATCAAAAATAGACTATACAATGAATCCGTGGTTTCTTTGGTACCTAGCAGCCTGATGATCTGTCAACATTGCAAAACACATTCTTCCAAAGGCACAAGAAGGACATGAAACACCACATGGAAGTATTATACAATATGAATTTATTTGTTATTATTAAACCATGACACATATGCTGTTAAGATGTGATTTTTATTCTGCTTTCTATAGAAGGACCTATGTGTCTGAACACAAAGGGGAAAGGAAACCTTCTCGCCAGGGATTAATATGGCGTTCCACACCCTCTTAATCATTATTTTATTCTTACAAGAGCCCCTGTGACATAGGCAGTTATACCCATTTTATGAATGGAGGAACCAAGGTAAAGGGTTGAGGAAGTGATATGCCCAAGCTCATGCACACATTGAGCTTAGGTCATAAATGCCACTCTATCCTTTCCCCCAGACCATGCTTCCTGTCTTCCTTTTAGTGTATAGGCTGTGATAAAAGTAATACCAAAAGTAATGTTTCGGAGTTCTAGACATCACTACAAGAGTCACATTTGAAATTATGGCAGAATATCTAATTGCTGTCATTTAGGGCTCTGCAAATTGCATTTGTGTATGATTTAAGAACAGTGTGATGCGGAAGAGCTCTTGTTGCTTCCCTGTCTCTATTTTTATGCAACTTTTACATTTAAAACTATTTGTTTTTAAAGTACTTGTAAGTCACTTTCAAAACAAAAGAATGTTATTGTACTGTGTATTTACTGGCATCCAGTGTATCTTGTAATAACACAATGTGAAATCTGACTAGACTGATTAAAAAGGTTGTAATAGTTTAATGCTGAGTGTTACATTGTTCTGCTGCATAAAATGATTTTTCTTCCGTGTGGGTGAAATTCACCCTGCTGTAGAGAGTCTGAGCAAAGCCCTACCCTGTGCAGGATGTAAATTCCAGAATGAGGGCCAAATCTTGGCCCTAGAGAAGTCTATGGAAGTTTAGCCACTGACTTATCTCTTTGAATGTATATTGCAACAAACAAGCTTCCTTTGGAGTTCTGGGAGCTTTAGACAGATTATCAGAGACTGAAAATAACTTTTATTTTCTTCAGCACGTATTGCCATAGCAGCAGAAACCAAAAATTTGATTTCCCCTATAGTCCTCCTCCAACTTAAACCAGTTCCCTGGGCCAGCCGTAAGTTATAAGAATTCTAGCTATTACATAAAGTGGAAATACTTGGGATATAGGGGCCCCAGCCAAGAATGCTCTGCTGTGGCTTGTTCTCTTAAGCCTTGCTACACTTAAGATTTGTCATTTTTTGTGTGCCTGGAAAGTTAAGCTAACGCAAAAGTGTCTCCCCCCCCCCCCCCCCCCTCAATTCAGTTATGACTGTCTCTTTTTCCAGGCAGTGAAATAAGTTGTCCCACCATAAAGTACTTATATATAAAATTATAAGCTTTTCGTGAGGTAGCTATGCTATCTCTTCCCTTCCCCCCCAAAAAATCAGCACACCATGGAGTTGGCTGGGAATTTTCCTTTTAAGTGAGTTGAGCAGCAAGCTGGAAAATTCCATTTTACTTCTAAAATGGATTTGAGACTTCTCCCAGTTAAATTTTTTTTACTTTGTCCCAATTCAGAGGGAAACTCTGTTGTCTAATCAAATCTAGTGACAATAAAAAGTGTAAAACTATTCCTTATTCTGAAGCTGTAGATGGCATCTCACTAGAGACAAGATGTTTCTTAAATGGGTCTGTGATTTACATATAAAGGCCTTGCGGCAGTAGGGCAGCTTGCACACGTGCTGTCATTCAGTCCCAGGATATTAGAGACATGGTAAGTGAAGTGGCATATTTTATTGGACCAAATTCTGTTGGTGAGAGAAAGCTACAGCATTCCAGCCCTGAGAAGAGCTCTGTGTAAGCCAGAAAGCTGGTCTCTAGAGCAATTGGGTATGTTGGCCACTGGAGGCCTATCCTCACCCACACACATTCACACACACCTACTTTCAGTGGGATGGTGTCACCAGGATGGATATTTCACCCTTTGGGCATGACAAATATAACTCCAAATGGCAAGGTGGTCGTTTTCTATTAATACAGTAATTTTTCCCCTCTGGTTTTATATTATAAAAGACAGTAACCATTGGAAATTTAATATAATTTAATAATGCTTACATTTCTGAAGTTAAAATTCAACTTTAAATGCACAAATTCAAAAAAAAAATCTTAGTCTGACTTGCCAGCCACAAAAACCTTAACTAAGTTTTATATCACAAGTTTCAACAAAGAGTGCTACTATGTCTTTCAGTAAAGTGCAAGCTTTACATTCAACATAAATATGGAAGGCACTTTAACCCTGCTAATAAAAGTGGCACTTTTAAATGATCAAGGTACTTAAAATAATTTGATGAGCAATATGGAAATGTATTTGTTTTTTTCCATCACTACAAATAATTTCTCATAGGATTAAGAATTCAAATATAAAAACAGCACTTAGAGGGTGTCTTTAAGACAAAACCCATTAACTTGTATGTTGAACAAAAACTTGTATATAATGTAAATCTATTTTTTCTTTGTTTTATAATAGACACTTCAACCAACCAGGTTGTAGAATAAAGTAACATCTGCATTGACCACAAATAATATAGGAGGGCCCTAGATACAGAATCCCTTCTGCGTTTTAGGATGGTGTTAATCACAATAGTGGTGTCAATTGGGCAAATAATGATAACAAACTGATTAAATTATGAAGTTCCAGTTGTTTTTTTTTGCCGCATAAAAAACAGCGCGTCAGTTAAAGGAAAGTTTTTCTCTGTAATTGAAAACTACTTCTGTTCTGCTCGTTAGTGGCAGAGTGTATTACTCTGTATACAACTTTGTTTCAGGCCCCAATCCTACAAATATACACAGATAATCCTCTTGAAAAATAAGTGTATGCATGCTTGGGGCCTACTTAGCTTATATACAGTGTCAGTTATCCAAATTGAAAGCTCCTAACACATGGAACTGGATAGGAGGTAAGACCCCTTATTTTCTAGGTTTTGAATATCAAACAAGACTTTCCTTTGAATTCACCTGTCAGTTACAGAAAGCAGTGTCTAGTGCTGGCATCAGAGAATAACTTTTATGTTCATTAAGAGAATTCATCTTCCACCCTTAGCATTGCCCTTTAACTTCTGACTTGGAGATATAATCATCAATTTCTTCATAAATAGCTCTGAAAGAAGAAGAGCAGGGTAAATACTAGATCATGCTCATTTCATTTTATTCAGCAGAAATGTGCCAGTGAAATCCTGCTCAAGTGTGAATATTTTTCCGTAAGGCTACATCTACACTGGCGGCTTCTTGCACAAGAACAGCTGTTCTTGCGCAAAAAATTGCCAGGTGTCTACACTGCATGCATGTTCTTGCACAAGTAAATTTACAGTCTAGCGTTGGAAAACAGGGCTTCTTCGGGAAGAGCTCTTCCACAAAAGGGCAGTGTAGACAGGCAACATGAATTTCTTGTGCAAGAAACCCCTATGGCTAAATTGGCCATCAGAGCTTTCTTGTGCAAGAGAGCATCTACACTGCCATGGATGCTCTTGCGCAAAAGCATATCTCTTGCGCAAAAGCACATGCCAGTGTAGACGTGCTCTTGTGGAAGACTTTTTGCGCAAGATCTCTTCTGCAAAAAGCTGCCAGTGTAGACGTAGCCTAAGTGTTTAAGTTGACTATGAGACAGCAGTTGAATTGCAGGATAGCCAGCTATCAGAACTGAACACACCAAGTGTGGTGAATTTTTGAAAATACTGTGTATCCACCTGGGCTACTAGGAGACACCACTAGACTCGTTTCACTTTTGAACAAAATAGGATTTTAGGTCAGGCCTCCAGAAGTAAAATGGCTGGAAAACAAAAATGTTAAATACATAGGCTACATCTACACTGGCATGATTTTCCAAAAATGCTTTTAACGGAAAAGTTTTCCGTTAAAAGCATTTTTGGAAAAGCACATCTAGGTTGGCAGGATGCTTTTCCACAAAAGCACTTTTTGCTGAAAAGCGTCTGTGGCCAATCTAGACGCGGTTTTCTGCAAAAAAGCCCGGATCGTCATTTTCGCGATCGGGGCTTTTTTGCGGAAAACAGTACTGTGCTGTTTACACTGGCCCTCTTGAACAAAAGTCTTTCGGAAAAAGACTTTTGCCTGAACGGGAGCAGCACAGTATTTCCAGAAAAGCACTGACGATCTTACATGAGATCGTCAGTGCTTTTCCGGAAATTCAAGCAGCCAGTGTAGATAGCTGGCAAGTTTTGCGGAAAAACTTGCCAGTCTAGACACAGCCATACTGATTTTAATAAAGCTACACAAGAAGATAGCTCTGAGCTAGTATTTACCGTGAATGTATAGCAGGCTGTTCTCATCAACTTCAGTACTGCCATGTTCAACTTTTCACACCACTGAACTAGAGTTTACTAGATTATTTTTCAGTACATAGGAGGTTCACCAGTTTCCCAATCACGTATTAATAAAACATTCTGCAGAGGTTTATTGCTTAGTTAGCTAACTCAGGAATGTTCATTCCTCAATGTCAGTGGCCCTCCCCTGATGCCTAACTCAGTCTGATTAATCCTCCACATTTTTAACTAGCAAAAGAAATGCATACAATAAAAGATATTACTTTCCTGCCTCCATCTCCTGCAATAAATCATTCTATCATACACTACTAAAAAGCAGTGAGGAAACTGTAGATAAATAATTTTCAAAATTACTCACTCTGTGCCATAGCTTGGTGCTAAAGGATCAAATTCCATCACCTCATAATAATGAGGTGCCTGTGAACTGCTCTTTGACATATCTGAAAGGAGGAAGGGGAAAAAGAGCAATTAATGCATATATTAAAGCAAGCAAACAACATGCCTGATGAGTGTTTGTTTTGTTTTGAAATGATGTAATTCAAGAAATGATTATCCCCAATATATTTTCACACACTAAATATTAAACATATGCATACTTCTCCAACTCATCCTACAGAGCCTTGGACCACAGTTTTTGTCACTGATTTTGTTGTTGTGATCGTTCAGATTTATAATACAAGGTTCAAATGAGACACTGGCAAAACAGATGTCATAATGTGGAGGTTAGATCTGAAGTGTAAGATTATTACCTGATGGTGCCTCATTCTGCGATGAGGCATTAACTGTTTGAAGATTTACTGTCTGCAAAGGCACTGGGTTTAAAACCGTGGCAAGCTAAGGAAATCAATCATAATAATGTTAGTATGTAAGCAAATAGCCAGCACAAAACATCCATCTATTCCTGTCCTTAATGTATAACTAACTGCTAGAGCCAATATTTCTATTACTTTAGTATACCTCTATATAATTTACTTGCATACAGTTTAAAATTTTAAAGACTTGTACATGGCTGTTCACTTGTGTCTTTACAGTAGGAGTGGGTGATGTCAGCCTTCCAAGATTCGTACTGTTTTCAAAGAGTATGATGCAAGTTCTTATGTGACCAAAGAAAACCCTTTGCAATCTTGGCAAGAATTACCAGTGACTTCATCTCCCCTTATAACCCTTCTTTGCAGCTATGGTTGGTCAGGGTTGATCTGACGGCAGCCACTAGATTCAACCTAGTGCAACATAGTTCTGATCTCTAGGTGCTGTAGATTGTAAGGCAGTAAGTCTTTCTTGGACATGATAAATTCTCCATCCAAAGGGTCTCTGTCCAAAGAACAGATGAGCAGCCTTCTCTCTGTCCATCTTCAGAGTCTGAGACAAGTCATTTATTTTATTTGGGACCCCATTACTTTTATATCTACTTTTCCTCCTATTAAGATGAGAATGCATCCCTTTGTGGGTGGGATATTATGCCCATGACATAGAACATTTCTCCTAAATGGTGTTTGATTGACTGATTCTTAACATTTCTACATAATTTTTTTAACTTGCAGCATCTAGATGGTTTGCAACAGGAATCTTATAGCTGGGCAAACTAGGGATGTGAAGGACTAGTCACTCCTCCCTTTCTCCCCCCATTGCTGCCTCTATCAGAGAGAGGCAGCAAGAGGGGGAAGAAGCGGGGATACTTCAAAGCGGCAGCGCCACACAGAGCTCGGGGTCAGTGAGTCCCCAGCTGACCCTGGGCTTCATGAGGCACTTTCACCTTCACTTCAAAGGCGGAGACATCCTATTGACTAATTGAATTAATTGATGCAAAATGCATCAACTATTCAATTAGTCAATTACCCGATACTTAACATCCTTCGGGCAAACACGCTGCATAATGGCTCTCATACAGCAATCCCAATGTGTTTTATACATCTATGATTAAATACTAATCATACAGCCATGGCTTAGGCAAACTGCAGCAACTGAGCTGGCCACAGCGAGCATCTCACACAGAACCTTTCAGGACACTGTGTTGTACTGAGAAGGGGAAGTTGCCCTGGACATTATGGTTGTTCCCTGATGCTTTGGAAAAGTGCTGTCGGATGGATCTTTTTCTTCCTTCTGGACAGCTAGCAGAACGAGGCCTCTGTTTTAACACTCACCACTGAGGAATGTGGTTCTGAGAATCCTGGTTACTCACGTTTTGGTAGGTCTGACCACCAGGGAGATTTTGGCTTGTGCTTTGTGGTTCAGTTGCAAACCTAGATAATGGGTAACACATGGAATGTCACTGAGAAGCGAACAGAAATACACACATACCTATAATTAGATAATTTTTCTACTGGCTGCTTGTCACCTTGTGTCAGAGCTGAGACAGAATCACCAGAAGGGGACAGTTGCCAGAACATTCCATGTCAGGGCTCCACAGCCTTGGAGCTTGCTCTCCTAGGGTGTGTCTACACTGCAGGGCTTAACTTGAAATAAGCTACACAAACAGAGCTACGTCAATCACGTAGCTTATTTCTAAATAGCTTATTTTGAAATTGGGAGTGTCTACACAGCACTTATTTTGAAATAGAGGACTCTTCCGCCGACTTCCCTTACTCCTTGTCTACTGCAAAGCTCATTGGTTTCTCTCCAAGGCCGTTCTTACCCATACATGGAATACACAGCTGCATAGGGCATCTGAAAATTTGGGGCACCACTGGGTTTTAATGTCCACCCAGATGAGCAGCCTCCTCTTCCTATCCTTGTTCGGAGGCTCAGCTTCCTCAGGAGAGGATCTAGTTAACTAAAAAGTGAAAAAACGTGCCAGGCCTTTTAGCAGAAAATTGAACCCGTGAAAAAGCCATTCAAATGGTAATGAAGCCATTTAACAGGCATTTGCCAACCTCAGGTATATGCTGTCAGTTTCTGATTTTACTGTGTTAGTGGACAGAACCTTAATTTAAAATTTGCTTTAAAGTATTTCATTAGTGTGTTGCTGAAGATTATAAAATCACATCTTTAAAAAACTGTCAGCCCTCCACCCCCGTCTGCTATTGGGCATAAGGCTGGGCATAGGAGCACCAATTTAATAGTACTATATAGGGCTCCATAAATCCGAAGGATGGCCCTGTTTCTCCCTGATAATGAGGGGTTGGGGAGGATGAGTAGAAAATCTTAAATATACTTTAAACTCCGGGTTATTAAATGTGTTAATTATTGGCCAAAGGGTACTACAGAAGCAGACTATTTTTAAAGTGTGTCAGGAAGCATCTAGAGCAAAACGTAAGAATATATGTTCTTGATCTTGTAACTGACATGGTTAGGTCCAATGATGGTGTCAGCAGAGTAAATGTGTGTCATTTCAACCAGACTGGGCATTGTCTCAGTGACCTAACTACATGTATCCTGCTTCAAAGAGACTAACACCAGACTACAAAGGGTAACCTCAGAACTGTCATTCATGCTTAAATTTGACACTTTATGAATGGGCCTTAACAAAGATGCTAACTACCTTACCCATTACAAAGATAGCTTCCCCAATTATCACCCCTAATATCATTATCTCATAGACACTAACCTCCCCCCCTCACCACGTCTCTGTTCTAAAATCTGATTTGTCAATTTTATGTGTGTTCACTTTTTTTGATTGTATCCCTTTGGTATATATGGTCCTGCCAATTTTCTTCCACAATTTGATCTGAGGAAGTGAGTCTGGCCCACGAAAGCTCATCACCTAATAAACCATCTTGTTAGTCTTTAAAGCGCTACATAGTCCTGTCTTCTGTTTTACTGGATGAGTGTGCAAATCATAAGTAGTTCCAAACATGCACAGATCTTTCCAAAACTATGTGGCAGAGCAGCAATGTAAAGAGCAAATATGACGCTGTCCACATCTACAGTTTCTTGGTAACATTTTACTTACGAGGGCTGTTGAGCGTTTGCTGTAGCTAGTAAATTTAGCTGAGGGTAGAGCAAAGGATGATGGTTGCTTGGCTCTGTAGCACTTGTAGATCTGCAATCTAAAATTGAAGCTGGTATTAAAACTTGCATGGCTGTTATTTGGCAAACAATTACATCTTTGCTGGGTTATTTTTATCAGAAATTTTTGAGGGGTATAAAACTTCAATGACAAAGTTGTGCAATTGCTTTGAAATACATAGCAAAGATGAAGCTATTTAATTTAGGGATAATATAATTCTGCCTTTTAAGTGGTAAGAAATGTAGAGTTGATTTAAAAAAAGCATTGTATTTCTGCCTGATATTTTAAATTGCCAGAGGAAAAAAAAGTGTGGCAATATGCATATTAGAAAACATATTTTAACTTTTTACATCCCTAGTTTTAAACGGTTACCTGATTACTGGGTAAGCGTTGGCTTTACCAACATGCTTACCAGATAACCAGTTAATAGGAGGTCCTGCAGCCAGCAGGACCCCCTGGCAGTGATGGGCCAGTGGGGTCAGAGCAGCTCCCCACCTGCAGCTGGTGGTTAACCAGTTAAATCATGTAACCAGTTAACCCTTTTAGGCAGTTTTTACATCCCTATTTACAACCACCCACTTCTTAGTCTAGTATGATAACAATACATTTATTCTGAGTACTTACCTCTCCCAACTCAAATCAAATGTTGCAGATTTGAAGGGACTCCTTGAAAATACTTAGGAAGTTCAGAAAGGATAAGTATGCCTTTCCCTTCTGAACCAACAGAACAAGCTACTAGTGCCAGCAAGAGTTGTTAGGTAGGTGCAGGGTTATATGATGTTCTTGGACATGGATGACAGATTGCTTCATTGTAAATTAACGATCCCCAATTTAATAATGGAGGAGGCAGATTATTTCAAAACACAACCTCTCGCATCAACCAATTTTTGTACAAAGTACCTTAAGTATGCAATCATAAATCAGCTCTACTTCCCTTAAAGGTTTAAATCAGAACTCTCTCGTTCATTTTTATTTGGCTATGCATTTGTCTCTTGCAAGGATTTTCTTGTTCAGCCCACAGTGCTGCTTTGTTTTTGGAATGAACACTACAAACTAGGGATGTTAGATACTGTGTAATTTAATAATCGTGTAACCACACCGAATATTATCGGTTATACAATTATTCAATAGTCCCTGGGGGCCAGGGCAGCAGCCACTGCACTCCCAGCCCCAGTCCAAGGGAGTTCCCTGCCTCTCCATGCTTCTGCTTCTGTCTCAGAGGCAGCAGCGCGGGGTGCCAGGCGGGAGCTGGTCCATGAGAGGAGCCCTGCAGCTGCTTCTGATACAGAGGCAGCAGCAGCCCCTGTCCACAGCCCCTGTCTACTGCTCTGCGGTAGCCTTCACTGCCTCTTGCCCTCCCCTGTGCTGCTGCCTCTGATAGAAGCAGCAGTGCTGGAGGAGAGGCAGGTGGCTCCATGGAGCCAGTGCTCATGGGGAGCCAGCTTTTAAGCTGCTCCCGCCCGATCACCAGCTCCTGCCTGCCCCCCTTCACTGCCTCTGTGGGAAGCAACAACAGAGGGACAGCTTTGCAGAGCCGGCTTGCATGGAGAGACAGCTTAAAAGCTAGCTCTCCACACATATCGGCTCCCCCCTCCCCACTGCTACTGCCTCTTATAGAGGAGCAGCAGCACGGGGGGGGGGGGGGGGGGGGGAAGGGGG